GGGCTGGCTATAGTATATGATCTAAACTATCAAGGCTGAGCTAACAGCAGATTTCTTAACAGTGCAAAATGCTCCTATCTACCCAGTTTCTTCAAGATCAGGCAATGCTCATGTAGATGAAAACATCATTTGAATTACAACACTTTTTAAACTCAGCTCCTGAATTGTAACATGGGTATTTATTGATTAAAAACTAAAAGATGTTACCAATGCTATGTTTCTTTATCATTTAAATGCAAGTTTCTGCCTATCTCCTATTATTTTTTAAATGCATGAAAGACTAGTCAAATAGAAGGGCATCATACTTTTAGTAATTTTATTATAACTCTATGATATGCTGATTAGTCAAGATTTTTCATTGACCATATCGATCAACTTCAGTATATAAAAGGTCATTAGAAAGAGTGATTTTACACATTTTCCTTTAGTATTTCTGGTCGGATTTATTGTCACAAGATCATTTTTATCTGAGCTGCTGAGTTGAACATAACTGAAGGAACTCATTACATTTCACCAGGTTGTATTAAAACATTCCAAGATTTGAACATGAAGTTCTGACATAGATGAAATCATTTAAATAAGTGTAGAGAATGGATATAACAAAGCTTTGGATGGAGTAGAGTTAGATTGTGGATGCAGATATAAGTGGTGAGATATTGATAGTAATGAAGACTATTATATAACAGAGAAACTGGAAAAGGTTTGTGTAGGTGTAGGAAAGAAAAAAATCTTTAAAACACTCCTTAGAAATCACATCAAATCCAAGAAATTACAATTTCCATTAAACAGTATACTTTCTTTTTTTATTATTATTATGCTCTTTTCTACTTTGGTCTTGTTTGCAAGGTCCATTACAAACGCATGCTGTATCCCTCTGAATCTCACATAGTTCTAAGTATTTTTAACCTATTTGGCTGAGTTTTGATTGAAATCTTCAAAACCTCTCCCCATCTTTAACTACAGTGCTATTCAATTCCACCTGTTTTCACAGGAATTAATCTAGCCTCAGCTTAACCTGGGAGACTGGACCACATAGTGTGCAAATGGGGTCAGGTTTTCTCTCTTAACTCTCAAAGGCAAAACTTTCACCTTTTTTCTTTTCCTTCCTGCTTGTTTAAGGAAAACTTAGTACCCAGCTAAATAAGTCAGTCTTTTCCTCACGCATTGATTACAATTGTGTTTCTCAAAATTTTTCTATGAATGCTAAAAAATACTCAGTTTTCACTTTTTGTTCTAAAATAAATTAAATGAAGTTCTTTCTGGATTATCTAATTCTGTTTTGTACTCTCACACATATGTGCCTCTACTTCTTCCCTTGTCTTTAACCAAAACGTTCTGCCTCAGTTCTCTGTTATCAGCAATTCAACCACCCACGTGTCCCAGTAGTTTTTCAATAACATTCTATGTAGAAGCTAGCAGCAGACATGTTAGAATCTCCATTATGCAGAAAAGCCCCCATAATAATTGTTTTATACATTTAGCATATTTGAATTCTGGTGCTTTAAAAATACTTTAAAATGTCAGGTTTAATGAAATTCAGAAAGGTTAGTGACTTGTCCAAGATCAGTGGCAGATTGAAAACTAGTACTTTGTCCCCTGAATCTCTAATCTATTTTTCCTCTTATCAAACATTTCTTGGTGGGGGTAGGATGTTGTATTTTTATGTAATAAATATAAATTCTCCATTAAATGCTCATAAAAATTTTCTTAGTTTCTGTCCTAAGTTGTTTACTCATTTCCATCAAGAATGTTGACAGTTCATTGTTATCAATGTTCTTTGTAATCAGAGCAAGGCTCCTGTGTGTGGATGTGAGGCCATTTGATCCCACATTGACATGGAAGATTATTTTCAGTGTCTTGGTGGTGTTGAAACAAAGACAATGTGGGCTAACTTCAGAAATTTTCAGAAGGTGGCTTTAATTTGGGGAAGTTTCTTAAAATGCCACCAGTCCTAATCTGAGAAATCAACTCCTATTCATAATTAATCAAGTTTCTACAGGGAGAAGGGAAAAGGATTTCTAGAATTAACCTGCCCAATCTTTGAGATAATTTTTTCTTTTCTTAAATCTGAAATCAGACACAAGAGAAAATACCCCTCTTACTAGCTTATTATCCTGGCCCCGTCCTTTTGTACTCTGAAGCATTTGTTTCAGTTGCAAGGGAGTTTGTACTCGTTCCCAGAATGTTTCAGTTCAGCAGCATTCTAGCAATAGCTCTTTCACAAAAAGCAAAAGATTCAAGGAATAAGGAATATGGAACATGTTTCAGGCAATTCTTTCCTATATTTTGTGGTCTATCAAGCACTCAAATGTTTAACGTCATGAAAATAATTTTAGGTTAATTATTACAATATGACTTGGAAAACTTGTACCTCAGTTGGGCATGGCAGAACAATAAAAATGACCTGAAATGTTTCATGAGAAATTATATTTAAGATTATATGCAAATGAAATAACAATGGAATGCTGATGCAAAAAATACAACAGTTTGATGTACTTTTATGTATCACCATACATAAATTTAAATCATTTAAGCTACTATTACATTGCAATTTGTTTAACAGTAAATTAAGAAGACACAGGAATTTTAATAATGTGATTTTTGGAGATAAAAATTCCACTTTGAATTTAAAAAATAAAAAAACCTTTCAATAGTCTAAGCATACCGTTGCTTTTCTCTAATCAACTTTGCTTAGCATATCGAACTTAATAAGCAAGTATCTTCCATTAGCTGACTTTTCAGAATTATCTTGCACTTTGATTTTTTTTACTCACTTTGCAGTCACAAAATGAAAAATGTAGACATTGTGTTCAAACAAGAAGTTCGTGCAAAGTCAAGTTCTCAAAACCACATGCAAAACTCAGCGGCACATGGTTTAGAGCTCACACACTCCAGGATCATGTAACATTGGCATGCAGATGAGAGGAAAGAAAAGCACCTACATCATGAAAATAGAGGATGATGAAAGAGAATGACATTTTCTTTATGACAATTATCTAATGCAAACCGTATACCCATAACCTTGACCAGAGTAGGGATAGGGACAGAAATAAATTTTTGTGGGGAGTGGGAAGCTACATATAAATATTATGAGAGGTCAAGTCACTGTTAAAATTAAGGTTCTCTATTCTGTACTTGGCCTCATTCAAGTTATCTTCCCCAGTTTCTTGCTTTGTATTTCCTCTGCTATATCATGCAAAAAAAGATCAGAACTAATATTGGAAATCATTTAACAAGCTCTAAACCTGACAGATAACAAGGGTGTTCTCCACAATTTACACGAGAATTAAATTGGATATAAATACCTCCTGTTCTTACCGGTGGGTGTTGTAATTCCATGTATTAAGGTGTGAAGCAGACAGGAAAGAGATAAATCTTTCATAAGTACATTGTAAATAGGCAAGTGGTATATAAACCGTATTCATAGGTACTAGAGTCAAACAATGAAAGGTAAATAGTTGTCACAAAATAGACTTAGTCACAAAAAAATGGTCACAAAACTAGAGTTATGGAGAGGGGATATAAAATAAATAATTATTTTACTACTGTTATTGAAATAATTTGACAGTATGGGACAACAAAACTGAGTGACATGTATTTTGATTAAAAATTCTTGACACTGCTTCAGTCAACCCAGCAGTAGAGATCCCCCAATGTTGTTTAATGCTGATATTTTTATCAGTCATATTGATGGAATTACATAAAAGTCATAAATGTATAGGTGCTCTCTTGTGAGATTAAATTGTTCTCAAGGGGAGATCAGTTTATCAAGTGAACTTTTCACAGTGAACTTCAGGGTAATTAGAATTAACGTATGAGTTCAGTTACATTTCTGCATAAAATGTGCTAATTTTATTAGCTTCAGATTCACATTTTTATAATGGCAAGTCCTCCTCAAATAAATCACACACAGAGATGATAAAATTATCCATGCAAATGTGTCTTTCACAATTGGGCAATAAATTTGCAAAACTTTTTCTGCATCATTATTGATAATTTTAACTTTTTTTTTTATAAATTACTACCCAAAAATAACAATATGAATTGTTTAGGCTCACAAAAAATTGCATAATGCAATTGATGTAATTAAATGTGATGGATTTTATTTTCTGAAACTTCTTAGAAACAGATTCATTGCACAGTGGAGGACTTGCCAGATGTGAAGTCACAATATTTTTAAGCTTTTTTTTCTATAGTTCTTTGATATGTCATAGAATTTGGATTTGTTGTGTTTATTTTTAATAATCAGTCTCTACAACAAGATAGTGCATAAAAGAATGTGGGCAGTTCTACTAACAATAAAAAAAAAGAGCTTTTTGGATCATATTAATTTTAATTGTGCTGATTTGGGGGCAGCGACATGGGACGGGATGGTTATGACAAATGATCACAAACGATATGAGGGAATCCACATTTCCTCCTTGAAAGGAAAAATGCATTAAAGCAGGTACAATTAAAGGGCATAGTTAATTGTTTGAAATATAGAAAAAAAGTTATTTTAAAAAGCTTGACACTTCCTATCATAAAATGCTTTTCTTATCCGTAAAGTCCCTAACTTCTACAAATTTCCAAAATATCCATCAATTAAAGTATGTTAACCTTGTATCCCAGAATGGGATGTCATAGTTGTTATGGTTTACTTGGAAAACCTTATTGCACCTGGGGTCAACTAATATTTTGGGTGCTGGCCACTAGGCCATGTACTAAAAGTCCATGTCCCATCTAAAGCAATGTTCTCACTAACTAGATATGGGAACTCTATTACACACAGTTATATCAGTTTGCATCATGTTATAATGCCTTTGCCACACAATATAACTAGATATAGCACCATGCAATGCCATGAATTGAGAATGAGAGACTATCTCCAGGGGAGAAAATAAACATCCGAGAGAAGAAAACAAAAGCAGGGGGTTCAAAGCTGGTGAGACTGGCTTTTCCACTTTGGCTATAGCTATAACGCCTGTGGTGCTTCCATTTTGGAAAACAGAAATACATACCATGTTCATGTCAATGCCATTGGTGTACGTCCATGCATGCTGGAAATACTCCTCAAGCCGTTGCCTCAGAGGGTTGGGGATTTGGTGAAAGCGAATGAACTCTTTAACTCTCAGCATCTGCATGTGGTACCTGGCAGTTCCCGAATATAGTCTTTGGATAATTGCAGATACATTCCCAAAAATGCTTGCGTACATTAGTGCTGGATTGGATAAAAAACAAAGTTATGGGTGAACACTGCCTTTGGTCATTTATATCTTGTAAAAATATCAAATATACTGATTTCAGTGATCTCAATAGAGTTGTGAGGATTTGTCATTTGTCTGTGGGGGGACTGGAGTGAAGAGTTAAACTTTAAATGTTATAATTTTAATGATAAATCTGGAGAGGGAAAGTTTCCAAATTTATCACAGACTCTAGATTCAGAAAAAAACCTTAAGATTGTTTATAATATCAGCTTGTGAAGGAGCATTGGCTAGAGATAAAATGCACTTGGAAGAAACCACTTTGTTTGTAATAGGAAGATACATCATGAGTCACCATAAATGTTTTCTTGAAAAAAAAAAAAAAAAGCTTATGAGGCAAAAATAACTTTTAGGGATTTCAAAACCATCCCTTGAATTTGAGACAAAATACTAATTCTTAAATAATGACTTATCTCTGCCTCTAATCCTCCAATTTAGCACTGTGTCTATTAGACATTTTAAACTTATTTTTTAATGCTTTACATTTGCTAAGGAAGAGTCCTTTCTTTTAATGAACCAATAGTTTCCTGAAAGTATTAACTTGTATACAATTTTTATTGATTCTAATTCATTTTTAAAGTTTCTTTGCATAAGAAATATATATCTGGTTTTAAAAACACAGACAGTTCTATTTTTGTAGGAAAAATGGGATACATTTTTGGTGTTTTCTCCATGGGGAGAAAATTCTGTACATCCCTTTCTATATATTCAGTACTTAAGTATAATATACTCATTAGCTGTTTTGGGGATGAATCTTTAGATTTAAAGTAAGCTCTTTAAGGAGTCATATTTTCCCTATATATTTGTATGTAGTTTCTAATAATTTTTAAAGGAAATGGTACAGTCTTTATAGAAAGTCACAGTATTAATATGGTCTGTGTATTGATCTATGGGAGTTTCTCAGAACCTTAGAATGAAGCAACATTAAAAGGCTCTAGGACTGCAACAGAACAAACAGATGGGAAAAGTGACAATAAAAAACCTGAATGTTTTGTTAAGCTATGTAATGAATACATATTTTTCCTTCAAACACATTTTGCAAACATTTGCCTCTATAAGTCACTTACTCAAAAATTAAGGTAGGTTGTTGTAAGATTCATTATGTGTTTCAAGCAAATCTAAGTTTTCTCCAGTATATTCTTTCTTTTTCATTTTATAATGTTTGGTTGTCATGGTCTTTGTTTATCGTAGATATTCTTAGTAAGAGAATGTCCCTAGGAAGGAAGTGACCCTTTATTTTTATCTATTGAAGAGACTGAAAATTGGTGAGGGATGAGGGTTAATTTTACATCAACTTGGCTGGGTCACAGGTTGTCCAGATACTTGGTAAAATATTTTTGTGGTTGTGTCTGTGTAAGTCTCTGGATAAAATGAACGTTTGTATCAGTAAACAAGTAAAGCAGATTGTTGCCTCCCATGGCCCAGGCATCATCCATTCACTGAAGGCCTGGGAAAAACAAATAGGTAGAGTGAAGGAGATTTCACTCTGCCTTTCTCTGAACTGAGATATCATCTTCCCTTGCCTTTAGTTTTGAATTCAGACTAGGACTGAGTTCAAATGGGCAGCATCAAATGTCCATCACTTTTCCTGAGTCTCTGGTTTGCTGAACACAGATTTTGACACTTAGTTTCCATAACCACGAAGACCAGTTCCTTTTTCTGTATCCATAGTTCTCCCTTATCTATCTATCTATCTATCTATCTATCTATCTATCTATCTAATCTATCTATCTATCTATCATCTATCCATCCATCAATCATCTATCAGTAAATCATCTATCCATCATCTATCCATCAGTTCACTCATTCAGTTTCTCTTGAGAGCCAGACTAATCCAGATCTGTAGTGAGTTTGAATTGGCATGTGAGGGAGACATTGATTCCCCTATAACATAGATCAACTGTTTAGGTCATATCTTTTGCAGGCAGAAGAATTTGCTGTAAATTATTCCTAATTTGTGTAAGTGGGTAGTTAGGAAGAAAGAAATATTTGCCGGATTCTAGTTCTGTGATCCCAGGCAATTCATGTGAGAAATATTTTTTACTCATTGTAGGCCTAATGTTGGAGACATGTCTGTGTTTAGCTATGTTTCTACAGTATCTATTACATGATCAGGAAATATAGTCAGCACACAATCAATGCTAGCTATTTTACCTAAACCACATAATTACATGAAGGAGAAAAGTCAGGAAAAATTTCCTGTTCAGTTTTTAACAAACACTGTGGTTTTATCTCCATACTACCATTAAATGAAACAAAATATCTGTGAGTCATAAGCCTGCATCTTTTACTCACTGTCAGGATGGAAAAATATAGATATAAGTATGCAATTGAAAACATGAATAAGCAATTGAAACACTTTCTTTAGGAAACTGTACATGGATACTTTTAAATTTATAATGAAAACATGACTTTCTGAGTTTATAAGGAGGCAAGCAAAGCTAATGTTTGTAAGCTGACCAGTAAAAAACAATGAGTATGTCTGTATTCCTTACTTAGTTGACGTCTATCAACAACCATAAAATAAGTCAAAAGCAGATGGGTCAACTATTGTTTATAGGCATTTCTTTTCTCAACTCAGTATTTTATTTAATTTTCCGGAGCAGAAATATAAACAGAGTTTATATGTTATCAAAATGGTTTAATTTGGGTTTAGGTATTATAGAAACAAAACATATATATTTTTAAAACATTCTTCAGCATATCACATTCAAAAATCTGATATGCTAGCCAAACCAATAAATTTGTTTGATTGCTATTACCTGAAACAACCTGATAGAACAAGTACAATTTGCTTTGAAATTGCATAATTTACAAAAAACCTTAAAAACATTCCTAACTTATGTGTAATTTACAAGAAACAAGACACATTCATTTTAAATATGCAGTAAAGTTGGTTTTGACAAATGTATACCCTTGTAAACACAATCAAGATATAGGACATTTCCCAGACCCAAAGTTTTTCTTGTGTCCTTTGGCTGCCTGCAGCCTTCATTTCAGACCTAACGTAACCACTAAACTTCGTCATTCCAACAGTTTGCATTTTCTAGAATTTCATATACACAGAATCATAAACTATATATTCATTTGTCTGATTTTTTGCTTCAGCACAATTTTTGAGAATCACTCTGTTGTGTCCATCAGAATTTTTTAATTGATTTGATTTGCAGTATGCAGTTATATCACACTTTATTTCTTCTCCTGTTGATTGAAACTGTCTCTTTTATGAGTAAAACTGCTATGAACACATGTGTACAAGTTTTTGTGTGGGCATATATTTTCATTTACCTTTTAAACACCTAAGAGTAGAATTGCTGAATTGTGTTTATGAGACAAAAAACTGTTTTCACAGTTGTATCATATTAAATTCTGACCAGCAATATCATTTGTTTCATATAGTCTTCAACATTTAGTTTTGTCAGTCTTTGATTTTAACCATTGTAGTGGATATAATATCTCTTTAGGATTTTATTTTGCAGTTCTCTGATGATTTAATCACATGTTTTCATGTACACATTTGCCATCCATATATCTTCTTTTATAAAAATTATTCAAAAATTATTTTTGTTTTTAAACTCAGTTGTCTTTTTCTTATGGTCTTATAAGTATTTGTGATATATTCTGAAACCAACTCCATTTTCAGATAGAAATATTGAGAGTTTTTTCTTCCATTCTCTGTTGCCCTTTTTTCATAATGACCTTTGAAAAGCAGATATTACTAATTTTGATGAAATCCAAAATTTTTATTGATTATAAGTTTTTGGTTCAGGATTATTTTTGTTCATTTCAGTTTTGATAATTTTAAGAATTCATCCATTTCATTTAAATTGCCATATTTATTGTTATGAAACCAATCATAATCTTTTATAATCTTGCTATTTTTATTCATATAGTACATTGGCAACCTTATGTTTTATTTTTCTCTCTTTCTTGCTCTCCTCTCTAATCTAGAGGTTTATCAATTTTACTGATTTTGTTAATTTCTGCTTATATTCATATCTATTATTTTACTTCTTTTTTTTTTTTTTTTTTTGACAGGCAGAGTGGATAGTGAGAGAGAGACAGAGAGAGAGAGAAAGGTCTTCCTTTGCCGTTGGTTCACCCTCCAATGGCTGCCACGGCCGGCGCACTGCGCTGATCCGTAGCGAGGAGCCTGGTGCTTCTCCTGGTTTCCCATGGGGTGCAGGGCCCAAGGACTTGGGCCATCTTCCACTGCACTCCCTGGCCACAGCAGAGAGCTGGACTGGAAGAGGGGCAACCGGGACAGAATCCGGCTCCCCGACAGGGACTAGAACCTGGTGTGCCGGCGCCTCAGGTGGAGGATTAGCCAAGTGAGCCGCAGCGCTGGCCCCATATCTATTATTTTTCTACATCTACAAATTTTAATTTGTTTGTTTTTTACTAGCTTTTTTTAAAAATAGTTTTTTTCCTAAGATTTATTTATTTATTTGAAAGGCAGAGTTACAGAGGCAGAGGCAAAGAGAGAGTTCTTGCATCCATTGGTTCATTCCCCAAATGGCCACAATGGCCTGAGCTGAGCTGATCTGAAGCCAGGAGTCAGGAGTTTCTTTCAAGTCTCCCACATAGGTGCAGGGGCGTAAGGACTTAGACCATCTTCTACTGCTATCCCAGACCATAGTAGAGAGCTGGATCAGAAGTGGAGCAGCTGGGACTTGAACTGGCTACACTGCTGGCAGTGGCTTTACCCATTAACCACAGTGCTGGCCCCTAACTTCTTTTTGTTAAAACTAGGACATACTTTAATCATTTTTCTTAAAAAAAAAAAAAAAAAAAAAGATTCCCAGGGGGCCTGCGCTGTGTTGCAGCAGGTAAAAGCCCTGGCCTGAAGCCCTGGCCCACCATATGGGCGTCGGTTTGAGACCTAGCTACTCCACTTCTGATCCAGCTCTCTGCTATGGCCTGAGAAAGCAGTAGAAGATGCCACAATTCCTTGGGC